AGCCTGCTTCTCCAGTGGTAAGTAGGCTGATATTGGGGAACAGGGGGCAGTAGGAAAGCCATAGCACAGGCAGTCCTATAGTCCTGTCTCAGGGGTATTTCAGGGTAGGATGAATGTTGAAATTGTCTCTGAACATCCCAGGAAGAAGAGAGGGCTCTCCCCAACTTAGAGATGACTGAATCTTTACATCTTTGCCTGTTGCTCAAGCTCCACAGGAACCAGGGTAGTGTCCAAGATTGCAAAGGCAATCCATGAGACTCATCTCTGTCCTGCTCCTTGACAGTCCCAGCAGTGTGCTCCTGATGACTGGAAGGAAGTGGTGCCAGGGGAGAAGGGTGTGCCTGTGACTCGGCCAGGCCCACCCCTACACCAGCAAGCCATCATCACTGCCATGCCTGGTGGCCTGCCTGTACCCAAGAGTCCCAACATCCAGCAGTGCCCAGCTCACGGTATGAAGTGGGGGCCAGGGGGGAAGTGAGCCTGCCCCGCCACTGCCTGGTTCCTTTTCCTTGGCATCTAGGAGTGGAGCGGTAAACTACCAGAAACATAATGAAGCAACACAGCAGCTTGGTAGCTAGGCACAGAGCAGGGAGTGAGGGTGTGGGCTAAGGACAAAGAAAGATTGATAACCCAGAAGATAAAAAAGCAAGAGGAGCCAGGTGGTGGTGGTGCATGCCTTTAATCCCGTCACTCAGGAAACAGAGGCAGGTGGATCTCTTTAAGTTCAAGGTCAGCCTGGTCTACAGAGTGAATTCCAGGACTGTTTCACAGAGAAACCCTGTCTTGAGAAAAAAAGAAAGAAAGAGAAAAGAAGAGGCTCAGAGGGACAGAAGAGTCGGTTCTTCAGCTCTTTTGCCATTGATTTTGAATGTTGCATATATGTGGGCCAAGCTGGCAGTGGAGGTGTCAGAGGGAGTGATTGAGATTAATCATGGCCAGAGGACTGCAGAGTCTCCGAGAGAAGGGACATGCCTCTGAGGAGAGCCAGAAGGGGACTCAGAATGAGCTCAGCTTGCTGAGAGTATCTTTGAGGGAACCATGCTCATCTCTGCGGTCTCCATCTGTCTATCTGAATGACAAGTGGACTTCCCATGGCCTGGGTTTCAGGACACTGTGGGAGAGTCACAGTGGTACCTCCGCCCTCTGGAGAGATCCATTTGCTGGCCTTCTTCTCTGCCAGTCTACACAGTGATCTTGGCCCAGATCTCAGAGCCATTCTGAGCCAAGGGCTGCTTGACAGTTCAGGGAGGCAGCTCCAGCCATGCTCCATGAGTGTTGAGAGTAGGGGTGGGAGAAGCAAGAGGGAAAAAGCTCAGAAATTGAAGATTTGAAGGGAGAAATACTTGGGGATCTAAAAATTAACAAGGTATTAGAAGTTAAATAGTCTTATAAGGAGTGAGGGTAGGATCAAGGAAAAAGAAAGCCAAACAATATGGATAATGGACACTAGAAAATGAAAAGATGAAGGTCATCCATTCCCTTTTTGTGGACTTGCAAGAATGAGAGACTCCTGAAAAGCTGTCCTGGGTCTGGGGTGTGGCTCTGTGGCAGAACCCTTGTCTAGCATGTGTGACACCCTGGGATCTGCTCTGGGCCCCATCCCCAACCCCGAACAAGGGGAGGTATGAGGAGGGAAACAGCCCATGCCCTTATAGAATCCACTCAATTATTGGAAAATTCCTCTTCTAATTAAGACAGAACCTGCTGTTCTGGAACTTACCTGGTTGTGATCCTTTCCTACAAATTTGAGAGTTCATCTCATAGTGTTTCTAGAAAATTGTCCTGACTCTGTGGGGGGTAGGGGAGCACATTTAAAGACCTGAGGTTTTTGTTTGTTTGTTTGTTTTTTTATTTTTCCTTCATGGCATATCAAGACCCCCATTCCCATATTTCTAGTCATGCTTCTCTATGCTCTGCCTTTTCATTGATTCTCTTAAAGTATAACTCCTCAAATTAAACACATTAGTTCCAAATATCAAAAGCTACCATCTCAGCCAGGCAGTGGTAGGGCACTTCTTTATCCCAGCACTCAGGAGGCAGAGGCAGGTGAATCTCTGTGAGTTCAAGGCCAGCCTGGTCTACAAAGTGAGTTCCAGGATTGCCAGGGCTGTTACACAAAAAAAAACCCTGTCTCAAAAAACCACATACATACACATACACACACACACACACACACACACACACACACACGTCCATTACTCACTCATAGTACTCTTGAGAAATAAGCATCACCATCCTCTTCATTCTAGAAGTGGGGACAAAAGCCAAGAAGGAGCAGCTCCAGGTTACAGGGCTATGAGAGGGCAACACCCTGGCTCTAGCCCCGAGTGCTGCAGCTCCTTCACCCACCATTATTAGGCCATGCACACAAGGCCACACCTTCATTCCTCCATCCAGCGGGAACAGTGCTGTTGGGCCAGTGTTGTGCCAACTGGATTCCAGGAAGCTGGGTTGTTTTGCTTTTGCTTTTGAGGTTTCTTTGACAGGAGTTGCTGTCTTATTGGGTCTCCTTGGTCTCCAACTTGCATTACTTATATTTTGAGCAAAAGTACAATTACTTATGTCTGTTGGATGATCTTGTGTGAATTTAGCCCACAGTTCCAGAGAATAATTCGTTCCTAAAGCTTTCCTTGAACTTTCTCTGCCAGGCTTTATATAGATTTCCTCCCTGAATCCTGATAATTGCCCTTGAGAGTCTGAATCTCATTATCCTCATTTTAAAGATGAGGAAACTAAGGTGCAGGGTCAGTGGAGAGGCAGGGATGACTTACATCTGAATTCTGTTATTCATTATGCACAGCTTAGCTACAGGTGAGTTACAGGAATAAGCATTACCCTGCTCTCTATTCTAGAAGGGTCAAACAAATTCTGGAAGCAGCAGCCCAAGTCCTTCCAGAATGTGTGTTCTTTCACCAACTTGATGATGGAAGTGCCAAATAGGATCCACCTGAGGAGCCGAGCAGTGCTTCCAGAGTGCTGGTAACCAACACTCTTCATTCAAATACAATCATCCAACAACCCCTAAATCAGCTGGCATTTGCTTTCCTTTTTCTATTTGGTCCATAAGGCTGTCAGAAATTTCTGAAGTCCAAGCAAGGCCATAAGCACAACACAAGCATCCTGATCTTGATGTTCCCATCTTCCAAGAGAAATCAACTTTGTGTAGTATAGGCAATTGTCAGCCACCCAATCCTTAGACAGCTACGCATACTGCCTATGTTTGAATGCCTACTTGGGGACAAAGCCCTGTAGGTTGTACGGTAAGGTCCAGAGAAATAAAGACTGTTCCCTACCATCAAGGAGCTTACACACAGGAGATTACAATGAGAGCTACACTTTTATATGTGCCACAATGGGCTCTTCGGTAAATGCTTTCCAAGTTACAGAGGGAAATGTGACTGCCAAGTGGAGATTATCAGGTTAGATTTCAGAGAGGAAGTGGCATTGCTATAAAGCAGGGGTTGGCAAACTGTAGCCCCCAGGCTACATCTGTTACATTGCCAGTGTTTGCACAGCCCTGAAAGTTAATCACAAACATAATGAACAAAATAATACTTTTTCACGATGTGAGAAAATGCATGAGATTCAGATGTTCGTGTTCACTGTGAGGCTCTGTGGGAACACAGATAGTCACACATTCATTACAGCAGCTCTCAGATTCAGCAACAGTAGGATGGAGCAGCTGGGGCCCAGAGCATATGGTCTACAAGGTCTAAGGTATTTATTTCTTCTGTGGCCCCTTTCAGAAGTTTGCCAACTGCTGGTCCTTTTGACCTTGAGGGATGGGTAGGGCTTGGCTTGTAATGTCAGGGACAGCGCCTTTCTGGCAGAACTGTGGAAGTTAAGACGGAGGGCAGAAGTGTGGCCAAGTGCCGGACAGAAGTTGGGATGTTCAGTCCTTTGCCATCTTCCCTTTTAAAACCAAATGTGTGAAGGAAAGGGGAATGTGAATTCTACTGCAAAGAAGGTTGAAAGTTTGCAAAGTAAAGCAAGAAAATGAGGGGAGCGTGCAGGAAATAGAAAACATGGACAAAGTGAAGCCGGAGCAGGGGGAAAGAGGGTGGTGGAGGAGGGATGGATGAAGAAAATCAATGGATGGGAAAATACGGAGACCAGTGAGAAGTTAGGATTGGGGAGTCATTGTGTCCACCCAGCAGTTTCTCTGAGGTTGGTGCCACTCTCGTGTCCGCGTACCCCCTAGCCTGCTTACTGCGTGAGGGTACCTCACCAGGACAGTTCAAGTTAAAACAGTGTGTTTGGGAAAGAAAACTAACATTTATTGGGCTCCCACTGTGCACCAGGCACTGCAGGCAATTTGTAAATCAGTTAACCCTCACATTAAACCTGGCGGTAGGGATTACGCCTTTTATGGAGGTAGGACTGGGTCCCTTTGGTCATTACTTCACCTCTGATCCTCGCTCCCAGTGGGGAGGATAATGACCACTTGGAGGGTTATTGTGGACAATAAGGGAGAGGGTGCGTGCACTTCGCCCTGACACGCACTAACCCTCAATCATTAAGACTCGCCTCC